GCTGTCTGCCTGTCCTAAGTAGTCTTCAGCCCTGCTCTGACTGCTCTCTGTTTCCTGGGTGCACCTGATTCTGGGGCATCTGTTTCTCTTTTGGTCTGGGGTAGAATGGAGAGTAACCCCAGAGGTTTATGAAAGAAGTAGTTAAAATGTGAATGCACGTGAAACTGCCTAACTTTCTATCCAACTTGTGACACCTCAAACTCCCTTTCTGTTCCTTATTCCATTGCTTCACAACCTTTAACTTCGTGATCATGAGCAGTTATGCTCTGAAGCCTCTCTCACTTGTGAAACACTGGACGCACAGAGACGTTGGGGTCTTCCATTGTCGCCCACTGTGTCCTCTATGACCTTCATGTCATACCCTGTGCAGAGGCCAGGGAGGCTCCTGGTGCACTGCTGAGGCCCAGAGCAATGAGAGCTTGCGTGGATCCATTTACTTAGTACATAGAAACGGGTGTGAGTCCCTTCTAAGGTAATTGTGCTTTTTGTTAAGTTCTTTAAAGTATTTTCTATGTTTAAAAAACGCACATTGTCTCTGCTGTCTCATTAGCATTTGACCTTCAGTAAGTAAGTTCACCTACTGGTGCCTTGCTTTCCTCATCTGTAAAATGGATTCTTAGCTATGATGACTATTTTGTTAACTATGTTGAGAGATAAGCAACTTAACCATATAAAACACGTGATATCTGTTGGACCTGGCCTGTTGTTGGCACTAAAACAAGTGATCTGCTGTGATGATGAAGATGATGATAAAAATGGTGAAATCTCATTTTATGAATACATCCCACCAGATTCATGAAGTTAAATTCTACAAGGAAAATTCTAATTTTCCATTAACTTCCATTAAAGTAGTATTCCATTTCTTGTGTTCCAGTGGCTAAAATTTTTCTTCTGAAAATATGAAGCCACAAAGAACCTAGTTATGCTATTGAGCACGGTAAACACAGCTCACTGATAAACACAGCCTTTCTCTATCCATTGGCTTTTCCTTCACAGCACTCTTCTCACCCCTGGGCCTTGCGGGCCATGCAGGTTATTTTTTCCTCTTCTTGTACCAGAGGCATTTAGAAACTCTCCCTTGATGATCAATATGATCCCAGTGCTTGGTAGTCACAGCATCATAGTGTCTGGTTTGTCTGTCAGCGCCTGTATGTATTGTAGGTGGAAAATTATTGTTCTTCAAAACATTGGAAATTATAAATTTTCTAGGGTATGGGGTCAAATTTTATGTCACTGCCCACAGGGAAGAATATTTGCTGCTGTTAATGTCAGTGCCTGTTTGAAAGTTTCTACCTCAATCATTAAAAGTATCCAGAAATTGTCTTCTTTCTATAATGCATACATTTTCATTTCATTTTCCATTTCATCCTTTTAGATTAGTTTTCAGATTCCAGTAGGATATAAGTTAACTGTGTATTATTTTTAAAATGGATAAGATACTATCAGAAGTAAAGGAAACATAATGTATAATATGTTATTTTTCAATACTTTAATATTCCTAGGGGTATAAGTAATATGATTTAGTGCATAGCATGTGTACTAGGGGTATTTTCAAAGTAATTTAAAAATAATACATATTATAAATATTTGTGCAATATAAAGGTAGATTAAATGTCACAATTATGAAAAATAGAATAAACTTTTCCAAGTGATTAATTGGGTGAACCAAGATATATATGTGAACATCTTTTCATGTTTGATCAGTTTTATTCATGATGGTAATAAAACCAAGCAAATGAAATGCAAAATGTTGACTGCGATGTAATGGTGGAAATTTTTACATGCATAAAGGAGTCAGGTTAAATTTATTGCCTTATGATGGCTTATTGGCTGCTAATATTGTACACACATTCTTAAAATGATCTATAACACCATGGCCAAAATCCCATGGGGGCAAAATCACAGTTGGTACATACTGTGTTGATTTATCTCTCTTGATGTGCAAAATATTAACTCAGACAATTTTCATATAGCTCATTGGTTTTTGTTCAGCGTTAGATGTGCATTTGTCATTAGTTTACTCTTTCTTTGGGAGTGTATAAAATGGCATTATCAATGTAGAACAGAGTTAAAATTGTAGAGAGTCTTTATGTTCTGGCACCATGTAGTTAATTTTTTTTTTTTCCGATTGAATTTGAATATATGATTTCAAAATGTATCAAATTACTGTTTCACTTGATTTAAGTTTGTAAAACTTAAGTTCTGTACTTTTGAATCAAAACCAGAGATAAATGTCTTCGTTTCAACTCCAGTGCCTGACTTTCCAGAAGGTCTTAGATCCTCCAGTGTGTGAGAGGGAGACATCCTCCTGGATGCAACAACCCATCTTGCTGCCTCTTATCTGCTCTTCCCTTTGCCATTGATCAGATCCTGTTCCCTGCTATTTGCTGAGTTTTCCCTGGTTTAAATCTAAGTCTTTGGTTTTCTTTCTCTGTAGGCAGGAAAAGAAGTATACTTTAATAACTTATACCAGCAGTTGTTGGGTTGAGTTGTTTACCTTAGTCTTAAGTGATAAAATCCGCTTTAACAAACAGTATGAGAAAAATGCAGACAACTTGATGTCTGATTTAAATAATTGAATATAAAACAACTCTTTAGTTTTCTATAAATGCAGTTAAAATCAGCAAGTTTCATCTACAGAGCTGTAATATATCAAAAACCAACTCAATGGAAGTAATGGAAATAAATGGAACTTTTTTTGGTAAGAGGAATAATTTTATAAGGAAAAATGCAATAGTGTGTAGATTTTAGCTAGAAGTTCTATGTAGATTTGGAGAAATACATCGCTTGTAGCATAGTGAAAGTGAAAGTTGCTCAGTTATGTCTGACTCTTTGCAACCCCATGGACTATACATACAGTATAGATTTTCCAGGCCAGAATACTGGAGTAGGTAGTCTTTCCCCTCTCCATGTGATCTTCCCAACCCAGGGATTGAACCCAAGTCTCCCGCATTGCGGGCAGATTCTTTACCAGCTGAGCCACCAGGGAAGCCATTGTAGCATGCTTCTGCTGCTGCTAAGTCGCTTCAGTCGTGTCTGACTCTCTGCGACCCCATAGATGGCAGCCCACCAGGCTCCCCCGTCCCTGGGATTCTCCAGGCAAGAATACTGGAGTGGGTTGCCTTGTAGCATAGTCATAGCAAAAAGGTAGAATTCCCAAAGATCATGGGGGCAGTTTTATTTTGCACTTTTCCATATAGTCCTGTGGCTGTTACATATAGCATTTTGTCTGCCACAGTATCTTCCCTATTTAGAATCTACTGTATTGTACTTAGCTTTTGTAGCACAATTAGCCTTGAGTTGTCAAAGCTCTTTGATCCAAGAATCTGAACCATGGATGCCTTTCTTACCTGGTTGTGTAGTCACTGCTTTTATCTTTGTGATCTCTATCTGGCAAAATAGCATTGGGCTGTTTCCTAATAAATCATTCATGTTTCCACACTATAGGTCTAGTAATAGAAGCAAATAAAAAAAATTCTATTTGGAGTTCTTTAGATACTCTACAGAAAACTTAATTTTGAAGTTTTGAAAGATTATCCAGGGAGGATTCCTTCAGATTTTTTAAATCTATAATTTTATCAAGTTGACTTACTGAAAAGCTATGTATTGAGTCACATATCAGTAGCCCTCCGAATAGATGCTTTAAAAAACTATTTAATAGCATGCCCTTGCCTTTTATCAGGATCAGCTAAAGAGAAGGCTGTATAGCAACCATTTCTATTAGTTTTTGTGAAACTGCAATTGAATTCTGTGGGCTATGTTAGGGCTTACCCTTTACAAAGACTCATATAGCAAAGGCTTAGAGCTTTAGCCTAGAAGAATTCCTATGTCTTCACAAACTGTTATCCGTTTCTTTAGTGGGTACTGGGTGCTCATAGCTCAAAAGTTACCCACACTGAGGGCCTTTCTAAGCATCACAGAACCAAATTGATTATGCCTGGAGTATTTTGGTAAAAACTATTTATTAATGTTTTTCTTCATTCATTGGTTCTTGTTCTTACTGTTATAATGGGTAACTACTATATCATTTCCAGAAATAGGTAGTATAGAAGTAACGGACTTGAATCAGAGCAGTGTCTAGCTACATATCCAATTGGGAAAGTAATTCCTGAAGCCTTACAGTCTGAAGCAGTTTTTTATAAAAACAATACTTGGAAATGCCCTAAATCACAGCCCCAGTGCAGTGAGCACTCCCACCTCCATCCGACTGTGACGAGGTTCTAGTCTCTCTCGTGCCTCAGGGATTGGCGGTCAGTGCTGGAGCTCTTGTTTCAGATGCCATTGCCAGTCCCCGAGTTGATGGTATGTGCATAGCACAGAGATGTGAAAAGTTGAAAAGGATTTTGGTTATCTCATTGCCATTGTGTATCTGAGATGGTAGCTATTACCATCACAGATGTCTAACTTTTTACTTTTTTTCTACAGCTTTAGGATTTCAGTTTCAGAAAGTACTTTTAAGAAGATCTTTCTTTTCCAGATTATTCTTGCGGTTACCTAGTATTAGTTGCTCAGTCATGTTTGACTTTTTGTGACCCCATGGACTGTCCATGGGATTTCCCAGGCAAGAATATTGGAGTGGGTAGCCATTCCCTTTTCCAGGGGATCTTCCCAACTCAGGAATCAAACCCAGGTCTCCTGCATTGCAGGTGATTCTTTACTGTCTGAGCCACCAGGAAGCCCTGGAAATTACCTAAATCAGAGGTTATTCAAAATTCCTTGAATATGCTATACAAATGGCTAGGGCAACTTATTTTTCCATTGCTATTTATCTTCCTGGAAAACTGTTAGAACATGTATACTTTGATTTACTGACTTAAACAGGATAATCATGCCACAAATATATCTAAATAAACAGATAACATTTGTGTTAGGTGTTTAAAAGTTATATTATTGCTAGAGTGTATTTTTAATGAGTCAGTTTATTTTTAAACTTAAAATGTATTTTTCCTTTTATTACAAAGGAGCTTTAGTTATGAAAGTTCTTGGTTGTTCTCCCACAGGATCCTGCATACTGGGTGAAGATTCATCACTTAGAATACACAGATGGAGGAATCCTGGATCCAGATGATGTCTTGGCAGATGTCGTTGAAGACAAAGATAAGGTAGATGACTCGAAAAGTGTTCTATGTTGTTTTCCTCTGTAGAGCCACATGTTTTCCCAGAGACTGAGATCCTTAACAAACTCAGGTGTCAATTATTGTTAAAAGGTACCATCTGTTCGATTTTTACCTAGACAGCCCATAAATCAAAGTTCATCATCAGATGCTTGGAAAAACTTTGTCAAGGTTTGGGAATCTGTTCATGGTGGCCTAATTAGCAGACACTTCATTCCCAAGAGTTCCTGATATGCCTCAGTAAATTAGTGTCAGGCTCTGAAGCTGTTGCGATTCTCATTGTCATTGTTGGCTCTGAAGTTTATTTGTGGCCTTTGCTAAATGTTCAACTTAATGCTTGGGATTTGCATGTGTTTCAAAGGAGAGCCTACAATGGAGAGCAATGTCTTATGAAGAACTACAGTGAAGATTGTTCTTAAAGTAGCTGGCAAGCAATCTTGAGTGATAGTCTTTGTCTTTATTGCTAAAGTGAACAACACTGACTTGAATCTTTCAAAAAGTTTAAACATGTTTTGCCACATACGTGGAAATAATCCCACTGCAAATACCTTATTTTAATGGGATGATTCTTCTGATGCGAAACTGAAAAAGGTATAAACTATTCAAATGTGACATGCTGGCTTACTGCTGCGAACATTTATTTATTTATTTTTTTACTATATCTGTGTTGGGCTCCTGCGATTAATGGGTAATGTGTTCTCCAGAATTGAACTGCAGCTTTCCCAAAGCTCCTTACTTCTAATTTTCTTCTGCTGTGCATTCTCAGTGCTGTTAGTACTAGACTAATTGAAGTCTATAAACAGGTATCTCTGTATTGCTTTTATGCCAAGGGTAGGGGTGTATGTGTGTTTTAATCAACTAGACTGGAATATAAATAACTGCTTTATTGAACTTATATTTACATTTGCATTTTCCTTTTCCATCAGATTTTTTGTCCTGTTGAAATTTACATTAGTCTTTCACACATGATATGCATTTATTTCCCTGTTTTCTGTTGGATTTCAACCCTCTTTTGTTTTGCATTTTAATTAGCTGTTTCATGTGAAACTTACCTCTCTAAATGATTATAAGCTCCTAGAGGACATGGACTGAGAGATTTTAACTCCTTTTTGTTTCTTGCATTAATATCCGGTACACTACTTTATCCAGACTTGATTCTCAAAGAGCACTTTTAAGTTTAGGCAAAAGAGAAGACTTTTTTCTCTACAACTGACTCTTTCTGTATGTGATTTTGATGCACATTTCTTATTTTCTGGTCTCATGGTAAATAATAAAGTGGTATTTACCTTGATACACAAGGGGAGGATTTTCACTTCTGTTTTTTCCCTTTTTTACTTTTTTTCTTCTCTACATCTTCTTTCCAAATACTCCAGATATTTGGGTGATTTATTAATGAAAAAGGTTTTCCCATTTCAAATTTCACTGATGTCCTCTATATTAAAATGAAAAGCTGAAATGCGGCAAGTTTAAGAAGAGCCAGAATAAAATGTCTCACCCCAACCTCATCCAGGAGCTCATTATAAGAAGGGTGAGCCCATGACCCATGCAGGGAAATCACTTGTCCTGTGGACCTCCTTCCTTTTAAAGAATTGTTTTTAACTATCTTGGCATTGCACTTCTTAACCATAATCCATTTGCTAGATGTAGAAACAGCTTCGTTATCTATAATGTTTTAAAAGGACTACACCACCATTACTAAATAAGGTAGAAAAGTGAGATAACCAGTTAAAATCCCAGCAAAGAATTAGTACTATCTGGGGACAGGTTAACTCATTCCTTTAATCTACTTTAACACTGCTATGTGAAACCTAATTGATATTTTTCTGCAGAGTTGATGAAAATTTACACTTGTGATATTGCCAGAAATAATTGTATTTACTTTTCTTTTTTAAGAAATGATAGAAGTGAAAAAGACAGCATTATTATTATTATTATTTTTTCCTTTCTGACATTCTCTCTACAGTCTTAAAATTTCCTTACAACCCAGTTGTCCAGTGTGGAAAGAAGTCTCTGCCAGACTTTTTAACCTCTCCTTTCTATCATTTTAGATTAAGTGGTATTTATAAATGTTATTTGTGGATGTTTAATGATGTTTCAAACTCACCCAAGATCCTTTGAGACAGTACTGAGCTTGGGTGAAACTGCACTTATACTGTTTTTCAAGTTGATTACCTAATCATCTCTTACATTTAGAGTATACAGAGAAGGAAGCCCAAAGAAACTTGGGTGGATATATGTAATTGTTGTGCTCAAGCCCACACACCTCAGCTCAAGGAAAGACTGACCACAGTTGAGAAATGGCATTAGGAACCACTGATGGCCTAACTGGAAAGGGTGACATAGGAAAAACAGAAATTTAGAATTGGAAAGCAGGAAAGACTGAAGCTGTTAATACAGTGTATGAAAGAGCCATCCAGTACACTTAAGTGGAAGTTAGAGGTTAAATGGTATTCTACTTAAAAATCAGACAGGAAGCTAATAGATTTTAATTTTCTAAAGAAATGACTTTCAAAATTTCTGGTACCCTAAGTGGTTTGTCTTTGGTCTTCTGTTATTCCTTTGGCCAACACAGTGCATATATGATATCTCTTTGGGAAGTTTTATTTTATTTTAAACTTGATTTCCCATTAAAATCACTTCACAGGAGAACTAAGTTTTTGCTCTGTTGCACTATTTCTAGCCTATATTTTGTCAAAATATTATTGGAGCAGCTTTGGAATTTTGAGTCTTATGATAACTAGTATTTGTGTAAAAGTGAAAGTGTTAGCGGTTCATTTGTGTCCGACTCTTTGCTTCCCCCTAAACTGTAGCTCACCAGGCTCCTCTGTCTATGGAATTCTCCAGGCCAGAATACCGGAGTGGGTAGCCATTCCCTTCTTCAGGGGATTTTCCTGGCCCAGGGATCCCTGACCCAGGGAAGCAATGTATTATCCCCATTTTTTAATTTCTAAGAACAATTCACAGAAATTGAGTCACTTGCTGAAACTCACACAGGTAGTAATGGCAGATTCAGCCTCTGGAACCAAGAGTTTAAATCTCCACCCTATTTTTTTTCTTCTGCAATATGCTAAGGCAGTGTGTTGGGTGTTTGTATCTATGATTTCTAATTATGAAAATTCATTGATCATAAATAAGCATGAATTTGTTTTTACACAGTTACTGCCATCGTTAAGAAAAGATATGTAATGGAGTTGTGGTGAGTAGCAGAATGAATTCAAAACTAGTATGCTATGCATGTACAGTTAACTCAAACTCTCTGTGCCTGCAGCCTGCATCTGATTTACTACAGAGATCTGCCAGTTTTACCTTTGTTGCTTTCTCTTGTACCTCCTTTCCCAGGACCTGGATAATTCAATCCAGTTATAAGTTTAATTATAAATGGATTTATGGAATACATCTGCAGTCTAACCACTATGTGCAATTCACATATATAGTGTACACCATATGCAGTACTGTGCCATCTGAGGTAGGCAGGGCCCCCAGAGATGTCTCTGTCCTAATGCCCAGAACCCATGAGTATCTGTTGCATAGCAGATTTAATTAAGTGAGAGACTTTAAAATGAAGAGATTGTCTTGGGTGGGCTACATGTAAACATAAGGATCCTTATATATGAAAGAGGAAAGCAGGAGAGCCAGGGTTAGAGAGAGACAGTATGAGAAAGTGTCAACTGGCCAATGTGTCATTTGAAAATACAGCCACAGAATGTAGAGACAGCTTCCAGGAGCTAGAAAAGGCATTTCTCCAGAAGGATCACAGCCCTGCTCACAGCTTGGTCTTAGACCCATGAGCCCATTTCAGACTTCTCACCTCCAGAACTGTAAGATAAATCTGTCTTGCTTGAATTCACTGTTTGAGGTGATTTGTTTTGGCAGCAATAGGACATTGATACACTGTCTCTTACTCTATTTTAAACTCTTAAAGTGATGATGGTTTTCTCGTTTCATCCTAGCTTGACTTTTAAGATTCTGTAGGACAAGGAAAACATGGCAATGTATAACTTACATCATGTCAACTGGAATACTGCCATTGTTTCATTACATATACAAAATATAATTATACTATATGCTAAGGTATATAGGGAGAATGTTTTTATCTTCGACTGTCATAGGGATTCATTCTGGAGAGATGAGTGTAGTTCTCCTGGACTCCACCAGGGGCAGGTTGGCCCCCCTGAGTCACCCATATAGTATCTGGTCCTCAGATACTATAGTTTCAACTCAGTTTTATCCCTTGTTAGTTGTGTGTGCTTCGATATGTTTCTTCATGTCTTAGTCTTTATTTACCCCTTTATAAAATGCATATGAAATTAGTTTTGTAGGGTCAGTATAGGAAAACTATATAAACTATAAAAAGTTTTAAGTCTAGCTATGGAATATAGTTAAGCATTCAAAGGATAACTGTTCAGTTCAGTCGCTCACTCGTGTCCGACTTTTTGAGACCCCATGGACTGCAGCATGCCAGGCTTCCCTGTCCAAAACCAACTTCTGAAGCTTGCTCAAACTCATGTCCATCGAGTTGGTGATGCCATCCAACCATCTCATCCTCTGTTGTCCCCTTCTCCTCCCGTCTTCAATCTTTCCCAGCATCAGGGTCTTTTCCAATGAGTCAGTTCTTCCCATCAAGTGGCCAAAGTATTGGAGTTTCAGCTTCAGCATCAGTCCTTCCAGTGGATCTTCAGGACTGATTTCCTTTAGGATGGACTGGTTTGATCTCCCTGCCATCCAAGGGACTCTCAAGAGTCTTCTCCAACACCACAGTTCAAAAGCATCAATTCTTCAGTGCTCAGCTTTCGTTATAATCCAACTCTCACATCCATACATGACTGCTGGAAAAAGCATAGCTTTGACTAGTCAGACCTTTGTTGGCAAAGTAATGTCTCTGCTTTTTAATATGCTGTCTAGGTTGGTCATAGTTTTCCTCCAAGGAGCAAGCATCTTTTAATTTCATGGCTGCAGTCACCATCTGCACCGATATTGGAGCTGAGAAA